AGCAGGCGGCATCTGCCACTCCTGGGGCTGCACTGGACTCTTTGTGGTGCTCAGGGTGGACAGCAGCCTCACTCACCCCACTTCTCCCCATTCACCGCAGCCCCTGCTTCAGCAGCCCCGGAAGCAGCCGATGTCAGCTCCCTGCAGCCACTGGGCTGCACTGTGCCCCAAACCCCTCAGTGTGGTGTAGCCCAGCGGCTGCAAACAGGCGGCATCCACCACTCCCAAGGCTGCAGCAGAGGTGGGCAGCAGCCTGGAGCGGGTTGAGAGCAGGCTGGGGCTGGCGGCGGCACCAGGCTCTTTCCAGTGCTCAGCAGCAATGCTGGGAGGGTTATGGCAAATTTTGGGGTGGCAGCAGCCACCTTCCCAGTGCCACGGCCTACCCCGAGTGCTGGGAAGAGCCTGGTGCTGCCACCGACCCCACCCTGCTCTCATTCTTCTGCAGGTGGCTGCCCGCCCCTGCTGCAGCCTTGGGAGCCATGGATGCTGCCTATTTGCAGCCACTGGGCTATGCTGCACCAGGGGGTTCAGGGCACGGTGCCCCAGGGGAAGCTGAGCTCCAGGGGTTTGGGGCACAGTGCAGCCCAGCCCACTAAGGATCTAATGCAGTGATTTTCAACTAGGGTGCCATGACATCCTTTCATGACATCCTTTCAGCAGCTGCAAACCGCTGGCATCAGCAACTCCCAGAGCAGCCACAGCAGGGGCTGCGGTGAGGCCCCGGCTCCACAGCCCCTTCCCTTCCCTTCACAAACTCACAGACTTACCTGCTTGGGGGGGGGGGAGCACGCCTAAGCTGATCGCATAACAGCAAATTTACCTCACATATAATGAAGTTCAGGTATAAAAAGGGTCATCGCATAAGAGCGAATTCACAAAAATTGAACCCGCATAAATCAAGGGAAACCTGTACACACACCAGAGGCAGAATGCAAGGGAAATCTGGAGATGTCTCCTGAAATGCAGGGGAACAGTCAGATAGGGTTATGGAAATTATCATTTCCAGTAGGTATTATGTGCTATGTTATCAAACAACTATAGGTGAATAAGAAACAACAACTGAGTTTTGAGTACCATCAGGGCACTGCCAAGTAGGGTGGATGTCAACTAGGAGCCTGTCTGTTTCTTCTTGATTTTGTCCCTCTCCAGAATGTTTGACAGCACCCATGTCAGTGATACAGCATCCCCATGCATATCTTAGCTGAGGGTTACCATCCTGATATAAATCACTAGGCATTAGATATTCTCAGTTCATCCCTGGTGTTCTGAAAATCTCTCTGCCCTTTGGGGACAGATTACAGGATCCTATCCTCCAGTGTAAGACAGCTGGCGGGTCACATTTACTTGCCCTCTTTCTACCAACCTAGTATTGGTATAGAAGTCTATGCAAAGGAGAAACAAGGTGGGAAATAACTTGGCATATCTAGCTCACCTCTGGGTAGGAAGAACAGAAGGGAATAGCATTTCAAATATTAAGCACAAAAGTGACATTTTATTTTTGGTGTTACTTACTAGGTCTCCAAATGACAGTAGGAAGCACAACTCTATGAAAATGTCACTACTGGTTCAGCAAGCAACAATCCTATTTCTCATTACAGAAAATAGGCCCTAGTTTCCAGAGCTAGAACAACTACTTGTGCTATAGTAACTGTGATTTTTAGAGGGGTGCTCATCTGTGTGGATCCCATTGCAGGTATGCACTGCTCTTCAAGCTTGGAAGACCAATCTACCTTTGACCAGCCATCTTTCAGGGCTGCACAAGTTCTGTGCCTCCTCTAGATAAGCGCACATGGGTTTCTATCAGCTGCAGAGATAGATAACACTTTTTTTTAAATCATTCAAACCTAGGATAAGTTGAAGATCCCCTTTCTTCTTCACACAGACAATTTTAAGGTGTTTCTAGAGCTCATGATACAGATTGCTGCCACCTAGAAGACCGAGATATCAAACAGTTTGTGGAATTTATCAGCTGGTGGACATGTCAGAATCTTCCACCTATAAACAAGGGAGTATTAAACCCAGGGAGAACTTTGTGGTGGCCCCTATAACCTATGTCAGGAGTGCTCAACCTCTGGCCTGCAGGCCAGATCTGGCCAGCAAAGACATGTCATTTGGCCTGCAGGGATCCCCAAGGATCCAAAATTTTGGCAACAAAGCAGCAGTGGCAGTGCTAATTGCTGTTCCCTTGCTGCCAAAGTTCTGTATTCACACACTAAGGTTTTAGATTGGTGGTTCTCAACCTTTCTAGACTCCAGGTACCCTCATCAGACACAAATTAACCCCTTGAAAAATGTCAGCTCTAAACATTCACATTTTTTTCTCAACTACAGAAAAGTAATATAGCAATTCTTTGGTTGATGAGAACTCAAAAAGCCCACAACAGGTGGTTTTTGACACTTTGGATTCCTATTGGAAATATTTGGGTTTATCTTGTGAATTTGTGTAGGTGTTTGCCCACCTAACAATGCTAATATTGTATGGCATCCTGCAACACCTTTGAACGGATGTCATGGCACCCTAGTTGAAAATCACTGCATTAGATCCTTAGTGGGCTTGGCTATACAGGAAAAGTCATGCTCAGCCAAGGAAATACCAGGATCACAAATACTTAGATCTGCTTGGGCAAAAGTCACATTCTGCAGCAAGGCTCCTGAAAAGCTTTAAAACTAGCAACAATATTAGTGCCAAAGTAATTACTTCATTTGGCAAGCAGGAGGAGTAGTATTTGAGAGGCGAAACTGCATGCTGTTGTTTCTAGTGGCTGTCTCCTGTTTCCTCTCTTCCTGATACTCCAGCACCTGTGGTATAGCCAGGCAGATTGCTGGAGAGGGAGCACAGGGTCTTAAAGGCTTTTGGAAAGCAAACCCCAAGAGCTTCAGAAGGAGCACAACAATATCCGTATTAGTAGCTGATAGATTGTTGGTTAAGCAAATGCAAGTCCTGAGAGCCAAAGGCTGGCTTCTGTAGAGGATGTTAGGCCACTAACCTGCATTGCTCAGTAAGCTTATAAGGAATGGCTCTAGCAAAATAGCATGTCCTAGTGATGGTGAGGAGGAAGACATCTTTTCCCTGGAAAGTGCCAATGGGGCCAACTGTGGACATCTCAGGCATTTATACACATACCTTTCTGTCCCGTGACACACCAGAGATCTACTGCTTTGGAGCGAACATGACTGAGTCCGATCCGCATGCGAGCTAACATGTGCCATACTGTGCCACATGCAGTTGTATAAGTGGTGAAATGCACTCCAGCACACAGAAAATGGTGGTGGTGTGTTTTTGAAGCGAAGCACCTCCAAGGTGTTGTAGTTCAAAAGCACACTGCTGCTGTTTTCTATGTGCTGGCATGCATTTCGCCATTTATACAACTGCATGTGTCACAGCGCCAGGTGCTTTTCAAAGCACCCTGAGTTGAGGTTTTGCATGTGCAGAAAAATCCCCTCATTGCCAAGGACTATTCCAGAGTGATCTCTGCCTGTTCCCCTTGTGCCAGGGTTGGAGCCAGGCTCAGTACCAGTGAGGGCTGCTGCTTTGCAGTCTATTTCTTCTACCAAGTGAGAATTGGAAGGCTGGTTCTCTGAGGCCTTCCTAAATTTCTCTTTACAAAAGGACAACAGGCTTCATCCTGAGCTCCTGCCCTAGGGCTCGACCAAGACCATTTTGGCACCCTGCTTCCACATACGAAATGAGGCAAAAGTACAAGTTCTTCTTGCCAGTATCAAACCTTTATTCAGTATTGACTTCTCCACTGCAGTCTTGGAAGTCTCTTGCCTGCTTGATTAACTACAGCAAATCTATACAGCAACGGGATCTTGAAGTGGCACTGGAACTTCTAGAATCTAGACCTAACGTCCCTTTAATAGACTGTTTCAGGAGATAGATAGAGCATCAATGAACTCACAAGCAGAGTAAGGGGACTGAGAGTCATATCTGGGTCTTTGAGTCTGCAGAGGCACACTCATGGCTGGATCTAGAATTCTGAAAAGGGGTGCATCCCCACCTACCAAACAATACATTTCCCCTCTTTAAAAATAAATGATAAGCTTTACTTATGAGTAGGGGCCAAGGGCTGCATTTTTCAGTTTAAGATTAAATACAAAACAAATAGGACTTAATTGGAATGAGTTAAAAACCAATCTGCAGGGCTGCGGGTCAGGAATTTCATTCCCAGGAGCAGCATGCATGGCAGAGCGGGGGCTAGCTTGACTGGTGGAACATCAAGCCCATGAAAACAAAGAGCAGGTTGCTAATGCCTGCAGAAGGAAAAGTTTAAGAGGGATCAGGAAGATGATCATGATCCTTGAATGGGGACACATTGAGCTGGGCTGGTGCAGCCATTGCTGTGCTGGTCCCACCACCTGGGATGGGCTCAGGCTTTGGGTCCATGCTGCTTCATGCCCTTCAGAGGTCCTGGGCAATCTTCCCAGTGCCTTGCAGTCCTTCAGCATGTTGCCAGTGGGCAGCGCTAGATTAACTGTGCAGTGGGCCCTGGCCCAGTCAAGATCCCCCTCCCCACTCTAGTGCAGCTGCCTTGAGGCTGGTAGAGGGGAAGGGAAGGGAGGCAAATGGAGCCGTTTGAGCTGCCGTGGTGGAGTGGAGGACCAGCCTCCAAACTCAGGGGCCCCAGGCACATGCCTAGTGTACCTGTGCCAGCGCGGGGCAGGGGGGCTGCTAGCTAGGAGCTCACAGTGCCTTGAGGGCTCATGAGCTTTGAAGTGAGGCGACTCCCTCAGCACCGTGTTACGCTAGGCATGTCTGAGGGCATTTAGTTTATTAAACCAAAGCAGGTCCTCCACACCACACGACCTTCTGCACCAGGCAACTGCACGCATTAGAGGATACACTGACACACTACCTAGCGGGGCCCTCAGTGTGTGCCCGTGTCGGGGCGGGAGCGAGCAACCCAGGCTGGAGGGCCCGGAGCCCAGACCGCACGGCCCGACCCGGCCCGGCCCAGTCCGGGAGCAGCAGCGCCCCGCCCTTGGCCCCTCACCCACGAGGGTCAGGGGAAGCGGCTCAGCCCACCCAGCCCGGCCGCCGAAGGCAGCGGGGCCTGGCAGCGGGCGGGGCCACGATGCAGAGCCCGCGGCTTCCATAGCACCTACGGAGCACGCTCAGATAGCTGGCGCATGCGCGGCGCCTGCGGACGAGCTCTGCCCCCCTTGAGCACGCCCACTTCCGTGTCTCCGCGCCCCTTGCTCGCCGCTTGGGAGCGGCGGTTGGTAGTCCCGTGTCCTGTCTGGACGGAAGCGCGGGGAGTGAATGGTTTCGTCCGCCCCGCAGTAAGTACCATTGCGGAAGGGGGGGGAGGAGTGAAGGTGGTGCTTCCCGCCCAGCGCTCCTGTTGGGGCGCCTCGTGCGGGAGTGCGGCCCCCTCGCGGCGATGCGCCCCTGCCTCGCGGGCCTGGGTGGGGGAGGGGCTGGCTCGGCCCTTCAGTGCAAGCCTTACACTAGTCTAAGGCCCTCCCTGGCCCCGGGGGCCTGCTCCTCCAGAGCATCCCTAGGGCTGCAGACACGAGCCAGGGGGCCAAGGCACGTGTGGGTGCCAGGCCCCCCAGCCCTCCCATGCCTGCCCTGCTCCCGGTGGGTGCGGGTGCATCACTTGCAGGGCACATCCAGTTGCCCTACTAGCTGTGAGGCGTCCAATCCTGCTGTCCACAGCACCCTGGGGAGCAGGGAAGCCTGCTGCCTGGAGCAGCCAGGCATGCAGAGCTAAGCCCAGCCCATTAGCTTGAGAGGAAGCGAAACCAAGTGGCAGGGGCGTTGCCGGCTGCTCTGGGCACCGAGGAAGGTCCGCTGTGTCGAGGAAGGTCTGTTGTGTCGTTGTCTCTGCTTGGGCTCCAGAGCTGCTGGTGGATGCAAGTCCATGAGGCGCCTTGTGGCTGCTGCTCCAGGGAGAGATCCCAGGACTGAAATGCAGATGTCTTGCCGCTGAAGCAGAGTCGGGTTCCTTTGCTGAGCGTTGTCAGGTGCCTGCCCTGTGCACTGTCACAGCCTTGGCTGTGCCGCGAAGCAGGCCCGGAGAAGGATACGGGAGCGATCAGTGGTTTATAGTTAGGGTGCCTGATCCTGCCAGGACAATCCTGGTTTCAGCACCTGTCCTTGACATCCAGTCAGGCTGGTTTGTCCTTTTTTTAGGACCTGCAGCAGGGGAGTAGGAGGGTGTAGTAGTAGGGTGATGCTGCTTCCAGCAGCTCTCTGTGTTACTCCCCTGGTGCGCTCAGCTGAGACTGGAGCTCAGAGGCAGTTCGGCAGTTACAGGAGAAGAGCAGTGGGTCCCGTTCTGAGACTCGGAAAATGTGGTCTGCTTCTTTAGATTACTGTTTCTCAGTTAGCAAAATGCAGTGTTTTAACAAGCACATGGAATCGTAGAAAATTAGGGTTGGAAGGGACCTCAGGATGTCATCTAGTCCAACCTCTTAAATACATTGCATCAATCTTTTGGTTGGTGGGAGAACTATTTTTAAAACCCCTAAGGCAAAAGGAGCAGAACACTGGCCAGGAGGCTGGCAAATGCCCTGGCACAAGTCATCAGGAGACTTGGGTTGTCTTCCTGGATGTGTCACTTCAGCTTTCTTTGCCTTGGTTTTCCATGTGTGAAAGGGGTGATAGTTATGCTCACTCCTTATGTCCTATGGGAGGTGATTCATTAGGGGTGATTCATTAAGGGAAATCCTCAAACTGAAAGAAAAAAAAAGGGGGGGGGGGCTTTCACTTACAGGAAAAAAGCAGTAGAAATAGCTCTGAAAGGTATGCTGTACTTCAGCTACCTGCTGTTGGAGGTGGACAGGTGTGTGTATAGCAGTTAGAGGTGCATCGGTGTATCGGTCTGTATTGGACCGGCACCCATCACAGGAAAATTAACGTTGGCAGTTAACTTTGTTTTGGCTAGTAATGTCACTGATAGATGATGTGTGCATGTGCTCAGCTGCAGCGTGCACGTGGCCAGGAATGCAGCCAGGCAGCCTGGAGGGCAGCATCTGGCTGGTAAGTTTGTGGGAGGTAAGGGGTGTGGAGGGGGGACAGATTGAGGCCCCCACAGTGAGGGAGGGAGTAGAGCAGCAGCAGGCACTGCCCAGCAGGAGCAAGCCTGGGAGGGGGAGCTATGGGGTAGGCTAGAGCCACCCCAAAATTCCCTGTATCCATCCCTCCCGGTGCCACTGCTTACCCTGAGCACAGACCCCACCCAGCCCCCTTGCTGGGAAGAGGTTGGCACAGTCCCAGGCCCTGAGCCCACAGTGGGCAGCCTGTCCTCACCCCGCACACAAATCCAGGGGTGCGCACAACAGCAGGAAACTGCCCCCCTTCCCCTTACACCTGTACCCCCGGAATGAGCTGCCCTACTCCTGGGGTTGCCTTCACTGCCCTGGTTGGGCAGGGCCTGCCCCTGCCCCACTCCTCACCTCCCTCCCTCCCTCACCATGAAGGCCTTAATCTGCACGCCACCTACCATGTCCCTTCCCTCCCCCGTGCCCCTTCCCACCCCACAGACTTACTGGCAGGGAGTTGCTCTCCAAGTTGCTGGGCTGTATATCAGCTATCGAATTGGTGTTTGCCGATATGGCTGGTTAATAATCAGTGATTGGTATGGGCCAAAAAAAATCTTTATTCGTGCACTCCTAATAGCAGTGGTATCAAAGATGCAGCTCGCCAACTAGATTCAACCTGTTGAGTTCTTGACTGGACCACAGTGTTGGCCATGGGTCTTAAGTTGACCCAAATGCAGCACGTGCTGGGCAAGGCCTAACATGCACATCCCCAACGGCATTTGTCCCGGCCAGTCTGGTATCTATGCTGTACACAGCACCCAAACAGGCCCAGTCTGGGACTGTTCCCCTTGCATGCTGAATCCAGTCAGTCTGGGGCGGGCACCACATGCAACATGGCTGTTGGCCCAGCTAGAATGGATGTAGCATGTAGTGCAGTCCTGGACCAACTAGAGTGGGCACTAGGGAAGAGAGAGGACTATAGGCCCATCAGTCTTACCTCTATTCTTGGGAAACTCTTTGAGAAGATCCTCAAGGAGCACATCTGTGATGGGCCGGCTTCAGGGATGATGTTCAGGGGCAACCAGCATGGTTTCATTAGGGGCAGGTCATGTCAGACCAACCTGATTGCCTTTTATGATCAGGTCACAAAGGCAATGGATGCAGGTGTCGCC